ACATAGGGTGCGGCCATTTTGGTTCCTATGACACAGTTTATACCTAAAGAATTAGATCGCTCACTCTGCGTCGGCACTTTTGATCTCAATGTTTCAGTTTATACACTGCGCAACTCAGATAATACAATATATGACAACCGCCTATAATAAAACAGCAGTCTTCTGCGTATCCTGAATTTGTATCCCTGGAGTGGATGCTATTTTGGAACTTTCAACTGGTCCGAGTGAACTAACTGATTCTTTAGTAATAAACTGTGACTCCAAAAATAATATTTACTGACACTGACAGCAGCAAGCAAAAGATCAGGTGCGTTTTAATCATCCGCTTCTGCTTCCGGAATTGTCGATTCAGTCGTTTTAACCTGTCAGATTAAAACAAGAAAACCGACAATTCCGAAGCTGAAGCGGATGATTAAAATGCACCTGTTAAAAATATTGCGCCAAGATGTAGGCAACACGTAATGAGGGTTCAAAATGGCGGAGTTTTCTATCTCCTTGTAAAAGGCACTCAGAAAGCTGCGCAGTGCGACCATTCTCCGTATAGTAAAATAAAATCAAAGTATGTGTATTTACCATAAAAGGTTCTCACTCCAACTCTGGCTAGTCTAGAATCTTGAGGTCATTACGCAATCCACGTCACTATCATGGGAACAGTTACTTTCAAAACGATTGGGTTGACATTGCAAGTCAAGGGACGCTTCTAACCAGCCTTTTTCGTCGCTAACAATAATCAGAACATCCATCATTGACTCTCAGCAAACCCACTTCGTTTCGCCGTCACCGACTTTCCATTCAAAGATGGGATGAAACAAGAAACTGCAAAGTTGCCAGGGAGCTTTTAAGTTATCCTGACAACACTGCAGCAAACAAATACTTGACTATAAATAGACAGAATCTGCGCCTAGTCACAGGCATTCTGACTGGTCATTGCCAAGTATGGAAACATCTCCATATCATGGGGCTGTCAGAATCCGCACTCTGCAGAGGATGCGAATATATCTTCTACGATTTCTCGACACTCTTATTTATTAGGAGATTTGTGTTCGGCGAGTATCAGCTAACACCAGCCAATATAATAGAAGCATATCTTGGCGACGTTGTCAACTACATTAATGGTCTGTTCCAACAATGATCAGAAACCAGTCACTGACAACCGGATTCTGCGCAGTAAATTATTAAAGCGCCTAATCCTCTACTGCGCAGAATCCTGGTGTCACTGACTGGTTTCTGATCGTTTTTGGAACTGACCTTTAATATGTAGTCTGACTCACGAGCTATCATTTTAGGAGGATGCACAATAGGCCTAGTGAGGCCTAGGTGCCGTGGGGGTAACCCACCCTCCTCACGTTATAGATACAGAGGCGTCATGTCCCCATATTTTATTTTGTAAATCTAAGTAATAAATATTGAAGTGTGATGAATTCGTATAGTTAGTGCGATATTACAATTGTTAAAATGTAATCCAGTGTTGCACATAGATTTTTTAATGCATCTACAATATTAAATAGTGTTAAACGTTTGCCAGCATTTTATTTCTCACCAGCAAAAAGATAACTCAGCAATTGTACAGTCCATCATTATAGTCAGAGGAAGATGTAAAGTAGGGTACAGATCTGAGCACGTATGCGTATAAGGCAAGCTGAACCGAATGCCTCGTGCGGCGCATTTAGTACATACGAATGGTAGATTCACGACTCGCACGAAGCACTAATCGCTACTGATCCAGTGAATTCGCGATCACGGAACCGTACACCCGGAATACTCGTATAATTAAAACAAAAATGGAGGTCTGATAGTCGAGGGCGTGTTTTGTTATTTTGTCTTGCTCTCCATAAAATATCTCGCTGATTATATACATCCAGGAGAAGCAAAACCTTTTCCTGACTCCACTTCATGCAAAATGAACCTTGAAAACTCGCTATAATCTATTCGGTACAAATTCCCCATCCAGACTGAGCACGTACTGCGCACTGCCTGCCTTTGATGTACCGCCAACAAACCAATCGGGACGAGGCTGCATGGCGCAATTTTCCGCGCCTCGGAAGCTCATCCACATCTGCATGCTCATGCGTCCTCGGCTTGCCTCATACGCGTAAAAAAGCTCAGATCTGTACCCGCCTTAAGGGGTAAGCGCGTTGCCTCGCACTGTTTTCTTTTTTAGAAGAAACAGAAAACAGATATTTTCATAACTAATTGATTTTGTTGGACTTCAGTGTGAGGTAAAAATTCAAAAACATTTAAAATGCCTAAACATTTAATCAGCAAATGTCCAGAAACGGTAATAGCTCTATTAAACTATTTTCAATGAGAATGTGAACATGGAGAGCCACTGTTTCCACTTTCTTCTATAAGAGACGTAAGTAATGATATTTATCTTATCCCACTCATTTTGCGTGAGATAAGAAGTTTATTAACGCATGCGTTTTTCTTATCTCATTGCTTTTCAAGTAATCAAATAAAAAGTCAAAATATCAAAATCTATTTAAATTTAATAACCTTAGAGCATAAGTTAATAACAAATTACTGTCACAATCTAAAGTAACTATATTTAAAGCTTGTTCTTCAATATCAGATGGCAAACTTTCAGAATCACTCATTTTTTTAATAGAAAATGCAAAAATACGTCAAAAATTAATTATTTTTGACTTATTGTTTATGACAATATTATCGTTTCTAAGAAAACAAAACCCTTGGTGGGCAGCTAAAGTTCATTTTCTGCCCTTATCACACAATATACTATTACAGTTGGACATTCCTGGCAAAGCTTCGTCAAGAGAAATATGAGGAAAACCAAAGTTGGTGGTGCAAGATACTTAAACATAATTATATTTAAATTTACTATTTACTTTGTAGGTAATAAGATTTTCCAATTGTTTTTTTAATTTAGTAATGGCATATTTTTAAATTTTTGGTATGTTTAATTTTTGGTACAACGGTTTTTTTTTTCGCTGTAGTACTGCATACAGGTACATCTTTTTTCTGGAGAAAAGTTGGTATTTTCTTTAAAGTCAGGGGATGGTGATTACCATGGCCAAATAAATAAAGAACACTTCTTGTATTGGTTTAAATATCAGCTTTTAATGAACTTAGAAAAACATTTTACAATAATTATTATGAATAATGCCAGTTATCACAGTACGGTGTTCAATAAAGTGCCCACAGCAGCTGCCAAAAAAGGCGACTAATATAGAGAACTGGTTAACTGAACGTGGTATTCCTTTTAAAACAACTTTGGTCCAAACCAGTGGCGGCTCGTGAACAAAAAATTGGGGGTTCACAATGAAAGAAGTTAGGTCTCAGTACAGTTTTAGGTAAAAATCTTTAAGTGTTTTGGAAAGGTGTATTATAAAAAAGTTTTTTACCTAAATCTGTACTGAGATATATATTCTGTCATTGTTCTATAGACTAGCAGTTCTTCTGTAAGTCCATGTACTATTTAATATTCTTAAAATTCGTTTCTCGATATGTTTTGGTATTAGAAAAAGGTATTATGAGAAAGATGCTTCAGCGCACATCTGTTTGTTGATATTTTGTTGTCAGCGTTTCCGAACCGCACTTGAAAAGATCACAATAAAGGCATTGATTTATGATTGTTACCCATGGTATGGAATTCGAGTGTTTTAGGTTCCTCGAAATTAAATAGATTCATTCTGTTATTCTAGCGTTTCTAAAAGGTACTGTTTAGTGGTTGTAGGTGCGGTTGGTGAAAAGATTGATTTATTGTGAATTGTGGGTGATAGGATTTGCAGGTGAGATTTATCACTGAGTGTCATTTTTATTTAGTATTTGAGTTTTAAGATAAATGCCTTTAATATTTATTGATATTTAATTGTTGATTAGATTATAAAGATAACTGTTTGAATACTGATTTAATAATTATTCGTGCGCACATTAAAATTATATCTGGAGCGAACAATTGTGCGTTTAATCCCTTTTGTTCATTGCACGGCTCTGTTTTCGACCTTCGGAGTCAAGCTCTAGTAGGTAGGGCGAGTATGTCGCGCGTTTAATCCCTTCATACTCATTGCACGCTCAATACTAGTAGAAATGTATATCTGGAGCGAACAATTGCGCGTTTAATCCCTTTTGTTCATTGCACGGCTCTGTTTTCGACCTTCGGGGTCAAGCTCTAGTAGGTAGGGCGAGTATGTCGCACGTTTAATCCCTTCATACTCATTGCACGCTCAATACTAGTAGAAATGTGGGGCGTATCGCGTGTTTTATCCCTTTACGCCATAAGGGTAGTAACTAGGCAGGGGTCACGTCGCGCGTTTTATCCCTTCGTGACCATATTTCATACTCCTAGGTACTATGCCTTAAAAATGTAATAGATAAAACAGTAATAAGTACATTGCGTGTCTTAATCCCTTTGTACTTGGTGATTGTTTGAATAATTATTGAGATAATAAATGCATGATAAGAAAATAAAAGATTATTCAGATAATAAATTATTACTAAAGTAATGTTCACGGACACTCACTAGTATTTTCTTCTTTATAGGAAAACCTGACTATGTGCACTAAATGGACAGCGCCTCGACCATCAAAACAAACATCCTGACACTTGTTATTTTTTTATATTGTTTGGTAATTATATAAACATTTATTAATTTGTCTTTTCACCTTTGTTTACTAAATTAAGTTTTATCTTTATCTAAACATACCTCTCTCCCTCTCTCTTTCCCCCTCTCTCTCTCTCTTTATATCACTTTCTCTCTTCCTCCTTTTTCACCCTCTTACACTTCTTTACATCCATTTTAATCTTCAATCAAGTTATAACTTAGCACATTAGATTCAAGCTAGGAAAAAAGTAAGAACACTGACAACGCCACAAGTTTTTATCATGTGACGTCACTACCTTCTTATCGTAAAAATACTTTATAATTCGCCAAAATTGAATTTACGTAAATAGAAGACAGACTAATTAATTCGAGCCCCATGCAGTAAAGAAACCAACAACCAACAATCATTAAGCAAGAATAAACAATACGCATAACTCACATCCATGTGCCGTTTGTCTGCTGCCTCCGTGCTGCTTCGGCAATATTTATGGAGATGCCGCCCACCAGTATGCAGAAGACGAAAGGCAGTGCTGCCATCGTACCATTAAATCTGCGTACAATGCTTGACTTGGTCTTTGACGTCGAGGTGCATTTGAGGCGCATGGCTCTGAAACAAATTAAATATACATACATTATTTAAGTTTTTATAAAAGAATAAAGATTTAAATAAAAATGATAAACTGACACAGATATAGATTTAAATGGTATATTTTATTTAAATTTCTTGAAAAATAGTTTACAGGGATTATAAAAAAGTCATGGCAAAAGTTTAGGGAAGCAATGAACAAGGATAGCAAGGGAAATCAAAAACTGGCACAATAGAAGCAGTCAAATAATAATAAAAATAATAGAGGGCAAGAAAGATGTAATGTTGCGATGGAAATAAACTGGAGGGTAAAAATAATGAGATTACATAACAAGCCGAAATAAGGCAGAAAAAGGCAGAAAAGAGGCAAAGCAGCAGAAAATGATGGAATAACAATAGAGAAGGTGAAAAACATTGGTAAAAATGGGATAGACATTTTAAAAATAAAAATAGTATTTAACAAGATATGGATTAAACAAAAATACCTCAAGACTGGAAAGTGGGAATATTATCATCTTGTTACAAAAAAAGGACAATAAGGAATGCAAAGATTACAGAGATATTACATAACTCAATACCATGCTAAAGATAAACGAAAGATTTTTTTTTAATATTAAAATTGAAAATTCAACTCTAAAAAATACTGATTAGATTTAGGAATGGCAGAGGGGTCCAAGATAATATATTCACCTTTAATAAACAACTGATAGAAAACCTAAAGAAGGTTATTATACCCCATTCAATATAAAATTCAATACACGTAATAGATGACGTAGGTAGATGACAGGCATTGGTACCACACACCAATTAAAATAATGAAATTTTATTTCACAATTAAGTGAATAAATTGGGACGCATAGATTTTCATATTAAAAGATTGCGTATTATTTTTTTTTTTAGCATATCACAGTAGTAAATTAACCGTAGATAGGTTTTTTAACAGAATAATTTTCGTGAATTTCATATTAAAAGTTGGCATCAAAATATTTTACTGTCAACTTTAGATTATACAAACCGTAGATAAAACAAGACACTGCGCATAATCCCACTTATATAAACTATTCACACTGACCAATCACAGTTGAGGACGTCACATGTCAGAGTGTTGTTCGACCAAATTTAATTCAAATCAATGTCAACGAGAATTAATTTAATATTTTAGTGACTTAAATTTTGGAAATAACGTTGAAAATACCAAGATGTATTGTAAAAAGCTGTATTTATAATAAAAATGCGAAGTGTGATGCCGATAAAGAAAACTTACATTTTCTTGTAAGTTTTTTAATTTTTAGAGATTATATGGACTTCCATATTTGTTTATTTGAAAATAAACAGAACCGAACTTGGTCATTGGTACATATTAGAAGTTGAAAATTGGATAAAGGTTTTTATTGTAAACTGTTTACTATTTGTTGTTTTTTGGGAAATCTTTTTTCAGAAAGTGGAAAGAGTAACATACAAAAATATCAATTTCATTACCAATGTAATTGTTTCAAACCTCACAAATGGTTTTAACAGTATCAAAACTATATACTTTTTTTACAATAATATGGGATCATCTATTAAAAATGTATATTTTGTTTGAATGTTATTATTTATAAGTTAATTTTCTTTAATATAAATACTCTCTGTATACAAGGTGACGCAACGGAAACTTGACATGGTGGTTTTGGGTATTAATATCGTGAATTTTAAAGAACGCTCGGATAGATTTATTTTAGTTTGAAGGAGAACATCTTTTTATCATACAATTTACATAGGAAAAGTGCCAAGTATAACACGTCATTAAGAAGATACTTTTAAGGTGAATTCGGCAATATAACTATTCATTACATTATTTTTGATTTTTACACCCGCTCTCATTATGATGCGAAAAACAAGTACAACGACAATATCGCTTAGCAAGATATGAACACATGCGATGGATTAAACGTAACAAGCGGGGCGCTGTCCTCATCGTGACGTCATGTACCCATTGCACAGATTACCTAGACCAGATACGAATGTACGCAGCGGCATCTTTACCGGCTCCCTCACAAAGGCGATACCGGTTTCGGCTTAAGGTGCGCGTTTGTTGGATCATGATAATAATTTATTTATTATGATTACGAAAAAACGTTAGTTGGACCTTTTGAATAGTTAAGAAATAAAACTACAAAGAAAAATAACTTTTTTTTATAAAGCAGTCAAAAATATGATGAAAAAAAATCAATAATATTTATAAATAGGACAAAATTTTAATTTTTCTTTTGGTTTTGTCTGACTTTTTCGAGGATTTCAAATCTCTGTTTGCATATTTAAGAGTATAAAAAATTCTGAGTCTTATAAATAATTTAATGGTGTACATTTTCGCAAATTGTTGGTAAGGATGACCAAATTCTATTTTGCTCATCTCAAAAATATATGCGTTGGAAATTCCAGGCTTAGTTGACAAACTATCAAATAGAGATATAAATATTTTTTCTAATTTGAAAATATAAAAGAGAAATTTTTCGCTGGGAGATTTTAAATTGCCAAACACCTTTTCTTCAGAGTCGTATGCTTTAAAATGCTCCTACACGATGGAATTTTACATCGAAGTGTGTCAATACTATTTATGTTTATAAAGAGGATTTGATTAAATGTTTCGAAGAAATTATGAACACGGAATTCGATAAAAAAACTATTAATCAGACTAAAGGGTTGATAAATTTTGAAAGACAGATTTTAGTTTCTGGTTATTTTTCTTCAGCAAAATAATGCCAAATTGCGATATACTTTTTGATCAACTGCAGAGTAGACAGCTCGATGCTCTCAAGGTTAAGATAAACATATCAAATTTTGCAGCAGCTATTCAAAATATTAGAAATAATATAGACACGCTAATTAATGAAGAATGGCAATCACAACAAGACCCACAAGAACTAAACTTAAACGACAACACCCAATCAGGTCCAAGTACAAACAAGAAAAGACGGTTTGTTGAAAAGGAGAACCCCATTCCTAATTTAAGGATATGTAAGGAAATTTGTGATACAATAGTAGTGCAGGTAAATGAACGTCTTAGTTTTACTACCCACCTAACAATTGCAAGTTTATTTGATAGTGAAAAATTTAAAGGCTACCGAGGTTGTTTTCCAAATGAGGACGTTAAAACTGTGTGTAGTTCATTTCCAAACGTAAACAGCTTAAAATTCAAAAACGAACTGTACACCCGAGATGACTTTGTGCAACACAATGGGGCCGTACCGTTATTACAAATGTTTTTTTGAGAACAATTTGACAATTACATTTTCGGAATCTGTGGAGCTGCTAACTATCCTGTGTACAATTCCCATGACCAGAGTGGAGAGTGAAAGATGTTTTTCGACACTAAAACGTATTAAAACATTTTTAAGGAACCCTATGTGCCAAGATAGATTGTGCGCGTTAGTCATGTTATCCATCGAAAAAAAACTTATTCGGTCCATTTCAAATTTTAATAATCTGATCTTCGATCACTTCGCTAGCCAAAAATCCAGAAGAATGGGCTTCAACTATAAGAAATAGTATACAACTGCAGCGGAACCTAGCAGTTAGTCTTCAATTTTGTAATATTTAATTTGTTTTGAAATATATTTAATTTTCATTAAGCGGAGAACTTGTTTTCCTAAAGGAAAAACGAATCCCGGGATTCCTTTCCAGTGTGTACCCCACTGCCGCTAGTGCCCACGAGCCGCCACTGTTGATTACGATAAAGTTTGTATTTCTTTAAGTTTGAACTCTGTAATTATTTAAGTTCTTGTTTCATTTAAATATGTTGGCCGGGCCGTATAAAGAGGCAACGCTGATATTATTCGTTTCCTGCTCGAACTAATGCTAACTCTCTGTAGTTTTCACATGGTGCAAAGAAAGTCGATACTGTATATATAATCACGGTTAAGACCATTACGCCTTAAACTACCACTATGGTAATTCAATAAAGTTAGTAGCTGCCACTATCGTAATTTAATAAGTTAGTAGCATCCATCTACATCACAATTCATGATTCATTAGACAATAAAAAAATGTTTGACAAAAGCAAGAGCATGAGATCGATGTATAATAAATTAATATTATTTAAAGGTCAATAAAGTAAATTCTCTTTTTATTGTCATTTTTATTTGATAATACAGAATTATTTTTTAGAGTGGTAGCAGATGATATTTCCGTTATTATAGAAATTAGCAAAAAGTTATTTACCATATACACTGTTGGCTATTGAACACTTTCCAATACGCTTTGCTAATGTAATAGAGCAGAGAGTAATAGAGCAGGAAACGAATAATATCAACGTGGCTGTTTGCGCTGTTCGATGTGAATAGGCATACAGCGAGAGATATTCCCACGCTGCCAGCTGACTACGTTAATATTATTGGTTTGGTGCTCACGACTAATCCTAAAACTCTGTGGTGTTCACTTGGACATTAGCAAAGCATATTGGAAAGCATTCAGTAACCGATACTGAGAGCTGAGCAAAGTACTGCATTAAAATACTCTTCTTATTTGAATAATATTTAAATCAAATGAGTACTTTTGCAAAATTTAGAGAATACTTGTGAAAAAATTGAGTAACGAGTATGAATATTTTAAATAATTCTAGTTAGTGACTCAAGGTTAGAAAGAAGGAATTACAGTAATTAGTAATAGTAAGTAACAATCAAAAACGAAAATATAATTTACCTTCTATCACTTTTGTGATTTTAGTGATAAAGCAATAAAGGAATTAGGTAGAGGTACAGGTAGATAATAATCAAAAGAAAACTTATTGATTTTAAGATGGACATAGATGGACTCAAAACGAGAAGGAAAAACTTTTTTATTTTCACATTTTCGAAAAAATGTTATTCTTCATAAAAGTTCTTGGTTGTCTCAAAACATAATAATCCAAACAGAAGTTGAATATTACTTTGTTGTAGGAAAATAATGACATAAATGTAAAAAACACATTGCATTTTAAAAATATTGTATTTTAAAGTACTTAGGTTGAAACGAAAATTCTGAAAATCAATAGGGTACTAAGT